GTAACAATAGTCCCCCACATGTGTATTGGGGAAGGAGATGAAAGGGAAGGACAATGCGTGTGAGAACGACACAGTATGTGAAAGTGACAGATTTGCATTGCCAAACTCCCTCCTTTCCCCTCTCTCTGTGTGGATAGAAGGTACACACATGGGGGGGGGGGACACCCTTCTTCTGTCTCCCACAAACTACACAGCAATCAGAAGGTTCCGAACTTCAAGGCAAAGGGCAGGTGCAGTATGACAGTGGGTGGAGGGGCAACTGAAGTGCCAACACTTGAAAGCTTTCTGGCCAAACTAGTCAGGATCACCTGTCAGAGGTGCCAAGATCTACTGCTAGATCCTGATCTACTGACTGGTGACAGCTGCTCTATGCTGTAAGGCCTCACAGGAAATGAGTCATGCCCAGTCAGTCAGCTCCCTGCAAAGACCTCTGACTGGGCAGGGCTGATTAATCACCTGTGAAACTGTGCTGCCTCCCCGTTTAGAGGGAACACTGCCTCTGACCACGCATCCCTAGTTGTCATGTATCGCGCTGCACTGGAACCCTGTACTACAGGGGTGGGGAATTTTTATTTTTTGGGGGGAAGGGGGTCGGGTTATTGACCCACAGAAAAGTCAGTTGGGGGAGGCCATACTCAACTTGATAAGCAGAAAAAAAGACACCCCCTTTACTCATGCAATTCAGAAGGCTAGGATTCCCCTCCCATTGCCCAGGGTGGGGCACCATGGCTCAGGGCTTCCCCATGGGGTCAGATTAACTCTTCTGGGGGTCTGGGGCTAGTAATTTGTTGGAACCCCTTAGGCTCTGGAGGTGGGTCAACAATGAGGGGTTCCATGTGAGGGGGCTGTAGGTTCCCTGTTCTTGCCAAATGAGGTATTATTAAACAGCTACAATCCATAGTCTAGTGAGGGGCAACCTAAGCTAGTGAGTGGGTTGCAAGATTGTTATAACTCAGACTGTCTCCTGGGATAGGGTAGTTTTGCTAAATGCAGTTGTGTACATAGAATGTGTGGGTTGTACCAATTGAACTGTAGCAGCACTATGGATGCAGAGGGAGTGCACATCTCTCACAAGGTTGTGTACAGTCAGCATGCACCTCACGTCACATGCCCTAAAAACCTATGTGGATGAAAACCAGCAGAATCTGGCAACCCTGTGCACGGGCAATAGTAAACATAACGGCTATGTCTACACTGGCATGATTGTCCGAAAATGCTTTTAACGGAAAAGTTTTCTGTTAAAAGCATTTTCGGAAAAGCACGTCTAGATTGGCAGGATGCTTTTCCGCAAAAGCACTTTTTGTAGAAAAGCATCTGTGCCAATCTAGACACGGTTTTCCACAAAAAAGCCCCAATTGCCATTTTCGCGATCGGGGCTTTTTTGCGGAAAACAGTACTGTGCTGTTTACACTGGCCCTCTTGCGCAAATGATTTGCACAAGAGGGCTTTTGCCTGAATGGGCGCAGCACTGTATTTCCGCAAGAACACTGATGATCTTACATGAGATCGTCAGTGTTCTTGTGGAAATTCAAACGGCCAGTGTAGACAGCTGGCAAGTTTTTCTGCAAAATCAAATGATTTTGCGGAAAAACTTGCCAGTCTAGACGCAGCCCCTGTCTCTTGGGGTACTCTTAGAACCCCACTGGGTAAAAGAAAAAAACACTATATCACTTATTACGGGTGATCACTTTTCATAAAACAATCACTCTATCTGACCTCTCAGTCCTCATCCTTTATGGAAACTTGCACAACATTTCAAAAGATGAGCCTGGGAGGTGAAATTCATGGCTTTGCTAGATACTCAAACTTATGGGCTGAATAGAGACACTGGGGCTCCATTGCAGGCTTCTTGCGCAAGAACGGCCATTTTTGCACAAGAACTTGCAGAGCATCTACACTGCATGCATGTTCTTGTGCAAGTAAATTTACAGTAAAACATCAGAACAGAGGGCTTCTTGTGCAAGAGTTATTCCTCTCCCCATGAGGAATAGACCCTCTTGTGCAAGAAGGCAGTGTGGACGGGCAACAAGGGTTTCTTGCGCAAGAAACCCGTATAGCTAATATGGCCATCAGAGCTTTCTTGCGCAAAGGAGCATCCACACTGTCATGGGTGCTCTTGGTCAAAAGCATGTCTTGCGCAAAACCACATGACCGTGTGGACACGCTCTTGCGCAAAACAGTTCTTGCGCAAGAAGCCTGCTGTGTAGACGTAGCCTTCATCTTGTAATCCACTAACAGCCACCTCTCCTCAGCTGCTTTCCTCACTCCCTCCTGCCCCCTTTACCTCCTCCTTATCACTGGATGGGTGTTCAAGTGTGTCTTCACCTTGAATGTTCTCTTGAAACGTGTACTTGTATTTAGTATGGACACTTTGTTAGCTTCCTAGACCTGAGGAAGAGCTCTGTATAAATTTGAAAGCATGTCTCTCTAACAGAATTTGGTTCAATAAAAGATATTACCTCTCCCCCTTGTCTCCTTAATATCCTTGCACCAGTACAGCTACAGTAACACTGCATATGTTTCCCATAAAGCTGCCTGCTTCTGCTGTATTCCTGAGATGATTTTAATAATGAATACATAATAACTGATAATTCTGGACTCTTATCTGTGTGACACTCTGAAGCCTACAATGTCTGCCGGTCAAAGCAATTCAAACAGCTACAAGTATGAGCTTTTTTTAGGTCCGAATATCTGCAAACTCAATCATCACTAGAATTCACAGTCCATTAATGTCAAGTTCTTAATTTACCAGCCATTTTCATTTTATAAAATATATCCAAACAATAGCAAAGCATGTATCTATGCCATGATTGGTTGAGTTATCTCTGACCTATGATGGGTTTTTTTCTTTACTGCTGACTTGCTTGCAACACTTTCTTTGATTATATGAGAGAGGCAGGACAGATTATAGATTACATTGCCCAAATGCTGCACCCAAGTAAGAGCACTGGCTTTCATCTTAGAACAGGGCTTGGTAATCTTTCCAAAGTGGTTTGCCAAGACTTAACCCTCCTGCCCTGGGCTGTGCCGTTCTCTCAGGAGGGAGGGAGAGGTCTCTCCACCGTGCACCCCATGGACCACCTGGCTCTCAGTGCAAACCTTTTGTGGACTACCAGTTGCTAATGGAAACTCACTGTTAAATTACATAATTACGCCCAAGCCATATTGGGAGTGTGGCAGCTAGGGAGAATGGTTTAATTTAAATTGTTAAACAGACTAAGTGTTTTAACTTTTTCATGTTAGCTTATAAAACTTAATTTTAAATAAAGTAAAATATTAATTTATGTCCACTATAAAAGGTTTAAATGTTTTCTTTATTGATGGCAGGGGTGGGGAACCTTTTTTGGGTTGGGGGTCACTGGCCCATCGAAAAATCAGTTGGCTACACAAGTGAGAGGCAAAAAAAACTCCTCCAGAAACCCCCAGCCCTCACTGAAGTGGTTCCCAACTGAGACTCCTCACTCGTCTGGCACTCCAGCCCCATGAGGTAAGGGGAAGGAACAGGAAGGACTGAGATTCAGAACTTCCCATAAGCAAGATTTACGGGGTCCCAGGGTTAGTGGATTTGGAGACCCCCATAGGCTTTGGGGTGGGGACAAAAATGAGGGGTTCAGTGTGTGGGACAGAGCTGCCAGCGAGTGGGATAGTGATGGAGGTACAGGATGTGGGCGGGAGGTGGGGTGAACAAGGGGATGAGGAGAGCAGGGTCTGGAAGGGAGTTTGGCAGCAGGAGAGGGTTGGGGTAGGGGTACAAAAGGGAGTTTGGGGGCCAGAGGAGGTTGGGGGAGTTACGCAGAAGAGGTGAGAGAGTGAGAATGAAGCCAAAAAGCTGCACATCAAAACCCTTGTTGCTGGTTGATTATTGTGCAAATGGGCTGAAATTCTCATTCACATAGAATGATAAGATGCAAAGAGAATGGGGGGGGGGGAGGCAAAAAAGGGGAAAGTAAAGACAAGTGCAGCTTTTGCAAAGGAAACTTTTCTATCCCACCCCCACATCTTCCCTCTGTTCCAGCCTTGCTGCCCTCAGCTCCATGATTCTCCATCCCCACATCCTGCTCCCCCTCGGATCGCCCCATACTCCACAATGCAGCCCTTGCCCCATCCCATCCTCCCCTCCACCTCCTACCCCCACATCCCTGTTCCCCTCAGTGTACTCATCAGCAAGGCAGCAGCTCTGGGACTAGCAGCTTCCAAGAGCAGCGCTGGGGTGAGGAGGAGCGTGGGGGTGTGTGTGTGTGCAGAGTCACTTCCCTGCCCAGCTGAGCTATTTGTCCAGGGCTTGCCCCTCGCCTGCAGGCTGTGGCTGTAGGCACAGCAGGACACTGGGGAAGAGGCGCCTTCTCTCCTCCTCCTCTCCTCCTCCTCCTCTTCCCCCCCCCCCCCTGCCCTACATGTGACTGGCCGCCCAGCCCTGATCTGTGAAACAGGCCCAGCTCCTGCCCCCTCCCAAAGCAGGAGGAAGAGCCTGTAACGGGGGGGAGGGATCTCCTTAGCTCCCAGGAGCTACATACCCAGCCCGGGCAGGGGCAGTCCCAAGGACATGTGTGCACACCCCTTCCCACCCCACCCCCCAGCAGGAAGCTGGAGCTTAGCTCCAGCCCTGCATGCCACAGAAAATCGGCTGGCATGCCACTTACGGTGAGTGTGCCGCAGGTTGCCAGCCCCTGTCTTAGAACGTGTATAAGGAGTTGAAGACCTCATTTTTGACTGCATTTTTCTGAGTAACATGGACTACCACAAAGTGGCTACTTTTTCCATTTCTTCTAATGTCATCAATATAATATAAAGGGGGGTTTGCTAATGTTTCACAAAGTCATACATGAAGTCTGTGTCTGTCCTAAAACAAAAGATGAATCCTTAGAATTTGTGTCTGGTTAGAAGGTAGCTTCAACAATATGATCATAGCTTTCCTGACCCATTGTGCAAACAAAATAAGCTCATTACAATTTATTAGCTGAACTGGCTTTTAGAATATCAAAACTTTTATTTCTCAACAGATGTAAGAAACATGAGTGCAAGAGACCTTCGACAGTTCGTTACAACTCACAACGCTAGTGAAATAGGTATATTATAGTTGCATTTTTACTCCAATTTAACTTTTCTGTCATATTCTATAATATAACAGTATTTATAAGCTACTGTCTGCCATTAAGTACCTAGGAATGTCACTACAACATTTTGATCTTTTGTATTTAAAAAACCTTCATGATAGAAGTTATGAGCTGGGGTCGTTTTGGAAGCAAAACACTTTTTTTCTTTCATATTTTATTTATTGTGCTCCTTTCCCAGCTGTAATATGTAAATGTTGTAACATCTGGATTGTTTCTAGGAAAGTGTGTGTGGGGGTGGTTCACAACAGTATTTATATTTTTTTAGCACCTAGAAGCCCCATTCTGTTAGATTAAAGGTGGGAGATATTAAGCAGCCTGCAGGCCAGATGTGGTCCACCAGCGTTAGCCTTCGTGGACCATCAGATGCTTTATTTATCTGTGCATTTGCAGGTGTGGCTCCTTGCACCTCCTGTTGGCTGTGATTCATTGTTCCCGACTAATGGGAGCTACCGGAAACATTGGCATGGCCCGTGCCTTGGCTGGGATTTTCAAAGGAGCCTAAGGAAGCTGGCTGCTTAATTGCCTTAAGCTTCCAACTCCCATAAGCCCCTTTGAAAATCCCAGTCTTTTAAAGAGTGACAGTAGGAATTAAAAAATCAGATGGTATAACCTGTGTTGCATGTAATAGGAGCAAATTATGTTGTCCTTGCAGTCTGATGACTTCCCAGATATTCAAGAAAATAAGTTTATTTCCCCATGTCCTGAGCCACCATACTTCAGAATGATAAATTAAATATAGCTGGAAATGCTTTCTGTTCTTATGTTGTAAAATTAGTGTCATATATAGCTGAAATAACTGGGTTTCTATGATTCATTCAATTCATATGCAAATAGTAACTATTCACCTGACATCCTAGCAGTGATGGTGTTTTCTTTAATTCATAGTTCATGATAAATATGTCTGTGTAACTATGAATCAGGAATAACTACAAGTACATTGTAGCCTATGTTTTCCTATTACTGTATTAGAATTTACTAAATCTCCTACCAAACACAGTTTAAATTGAATGTTCTTGTTGTCTCTGAATTCCTGGATAGCTTAGGAACTGCAATCATAAAACAGGACGCCTTTGTGATCCTTATCTTAATTTTTGATGTTGATTGTCAATATTCTTGATTGACCAAGCTTGTTGTAAAATAGACATATTGTGAAAGTTTTAACCATTTACTTCAATACTTAATTAAAATAGAATGAAAAATAGATCCACTCAACATATAGACTACGTCTAGACTGGCAAGATTTAGCAAAAATACTCTAAACGCAAGAGTTTTTGTGTTAGAGTATTTGAGTAAGAGAGTGTCTATACTGGCATGTGCCTTTGCACAAAAGATTTGCTTTTGCGCAAAAGCATCCGTGCCAGTGTAGACGCTCTCTTGCGCAAGAAAGCTCCGATGGCCATTTTAGCCGTCGGGCTTTCTTGCGCAAGAAATTGATGTTACCTGTCTACACTGGCCTCTTGCGCAAGAACACTTGCGCAAGAGGACTTATCCCTGAGCGGGAGCGTCAGAGTATTTGCGCAAGAAGCCCTGATTTCATACAGTAGAATATCAGTGTTCTTGCTCAAATACTCATGGCCAGTGTAGACAGGCGGCAAGATTTTGCACAAAAGCAGCTGCTTTTGCGCTAAATCTTGCCAATGTAGACACAGCCATATTGTTTAGTTATTTTCCTAACATTTTCATGGAAAAAATCATATGATTTTTAAGTACAATACTTACCCTATGAAATTGAGCTTTAATTTTGTGTCCAGCATTTTTAAAAAAATGTTTTTGCACTGTTCTGAAATGACTTTTTTGTGTTAAAAATAGATAAACTGGTAGTTCGTATGAAAAATGGTCTTTTCAGCCAGAAGTATAAACCTGTTGACTATAAACAACTATATTCACTTACTGAAGAAAAGAAAAAAACCTCTGTTAATATACAATTAAAGGTAAGCTGTTCTTTATTTCTACTGGTTGAACCTCTCAAGTCCAGTATCTTCCACAATCGACTTGTGCCAAACCAGACAGTATGCTGACCCATGGGACGTCAGTAGTGTCTAGCAGCATTACTAACACCTCCACTGCTTACTGGGCTCTTAAAAGACATTTAGGAGTAAATTAGAGCAAAATAAGGGCACAGAACACTGAGAGTGTGTACTGACAGCTGTAAAGAAACTTTATAAGACTGTGTGAGACTTGGCCACACCCAGGAGAAGTGAGCATCTGACTAACTCAGATCATGCTGCACCATGGATGTTACCAGACCATGGATGTTGCCAGATCATAGAGTGTCGGAAAAGAGAGCTTCAACCTGTAATAGAATTCATTTTTTTATATATAACTAGGACAGGGGTGGCCAACCTGTGGCTCGCGAGCCGCATACGGCTTTTCACCCCTGAAAGTGTGGCTCATGAAGCCTCCCCTGTGGCTCGCAAAGCTGCCCCATGTGCCCCTTCAATTGGCCCCCAGATCTCTGTGCTCACCAGATGCAGGGGAGCCATCTGGTGAGGCAAAATGGCGCCGGCAAGATGGCAGCAGCCAAACGGGAGCCTGATGTGGCCAAAAAGCCTGCTCATAGTTTTTAAAGGGACAGCATTTATTTTATTTTTTTCCTCAACAGCTATGGCTGATGGAAAGCCTTTTTTTTTTTTTTTTTTTTTTTTTTCTCCTCGACAACTCTGGCTGGTGCGGAGCTCTCCCATTTATTTTTTCAACAATTTTGGTGCGACTCTGCATTTTTTCTGTCGCTGTTTTGGCTCTCATTGTTTAATGGGTTGGCCACCCCTGAACTAGGGGGTGGTGCCCTTTGCTCACTACGCTCACCAATCCCGGCTGCTGGGGAGAGGGATGGGCCATGCCAGCCCCAACCTCTCAGCCCCCACTCTGCCACTGGGGAAGGGAAAGCTTCTTGCCCCCTCCCCACTGCCGTTTGCGCACTTCCCCAAAAGCTGAATCGGGCACAAAGCCTCCAGGTTTCCTTCTCTTTCCCACTTCCATGCAGGAAGCCGGCACTGGTGCTACAATCTTGCAGGGGGGAAGATTTCGAGGCTGGAGCGCCAGGGAGGCTGCAGCCTGAGTGCAAGCCAGGTGGGGGCAACAGTTCCTCACTGGGTCCTGGAGCATTGGAGCCCTAGAGCACAGCAAGAAGCCACTGCCACAACCCCCTGACCTTCCTGCAGGCTAGCTGGGGACCAGCGAGGAGTCCAGGGCACCTTCTGAAGAGGGGCTGGGGGGGGTACCCTGAACCATGGTTGTCATATCCCCTTCTTGGGACACTGCTAAGATTGAGGGGCAGGTTGACGCAAAGTGACGTCATGACATCATTCTGTCGTCCCACAGTAAAAGGGTTTATATATAGAGAGAGGGAGAGGGAGAGAGAGAATATTCTCTTAGCTGCTTCAGTTTGTTATTTATATTGTAGTATACTTAGAAGCCTGTATCTGGGGCTGGGCCCATTGTTAATCACCAGGGCTGGTGAAAGACTTTGCTGGACCCTAAGCAGTATGTGTTTGTTGGGTGGGGGGAGGGTAGATTTGGCTCTGGGATCCCCAGAAGGAGCTGTGCTTTGGACAGAAGGGGGAAGGATAGGTGCTAGTCTACCCCAGTCAGCCCTCAGCACCGCCCAGTCTGCCACGTGGGGTTCCAGCAGTGATTGAAAGGGCTCAGGTATTGGCAGTAGCAGTCAAGAGCAACTCCTCCTTGGTCTCTTCCCCGCTCCCACTCCCTCTGTTGGTGGCCCTGTTAAGCACCATATATATGTATAATCAAAAGAAGGTGCCTGGCTCAACAAGCTTAGAGTCTGAAAATATGACAAGGGACGACAACTGCATGGAACATCAGACTATAAGAACAGCCATACTGGGTCAGATCAAAGGTCCACCTAGCCCAGTGTCCTGTCTTTCAACAGTGGCAAATTCCAGATGCCCCAGAGGGAATGAACAGAACAGGTAATCATCAAGTAATCCCTCTCCTGTCACCCATTCCCAGCCCCTGACAGAAGCTAAGGATACCATTCCTGTCCTTTCTGTCTAATAGCACTGCTCTACAGCCAAAATGCTTCTGAAATAAATGTAGTCAAACGTTACTAATTCTGGGTCACTGAGAACGAAAATGATGCTTAAAATTGTTGATTGGCTCTAGTTTTCAAGATATGCTATTGGGTCAGTATATACAACCCTTGACTTGTGAATGGCGGAGGATAAGTGAATTATAAAGGGAAGTGTGACGGGGCTAACCTGCCCCGCACTGAGCAGGAGGAAGGGGAGCCCATTTATTGGGCAGAACACGCCCCTCCCCCACAGCCCTACTGGGCATGCTCGAAGTGCAGCCTCGCTATAAAAGACTGCTGGGCTGCTCAGTTGAGGCAGACCGCTGGGGAGGCAGGAGCCCCAGCCCAAGCTGCAGGCCCGCCGCCGGACCTGCCGCCAGATCCAGAGCCGGAGGAGGCGCTGCTGCTTCTACCACCACCCCCGGGGCGGGCCCGCCCTCAACACCGACGCCCGTTGGCCACCCGCCCCGCTGCAGAACGCCTGGCGCCGCCGCCCCAGGGACAAGCCCGTCGCACGAAGACGCTGCCGGCAACCCAGCATCGCCAGGTGGGACCTCCGTCGGCTACCAGGTTGGGGGTAGGAAGCAACCCAGGGCAAGGGGTCGGGAAACCCCCCCCCCAGTGGGCTTAGCATGTTTTGGGGGAGGACCCCCCGCTGAGCC